GGACTGGAAATTTTTATTTGTGGGTTCCATTCTAAATCTAGAGATTTAGGACTGGTCAAACCGACCTGTCCTAAATGTGCTAAATCTAGAGTCAAAAACTCTAAATTCTGATAGACTSACAGATCAAAAATTTAGAGATCTAGAATCACCCATTATGTACTTCTACTTACGTAGTTGTACCGGTAGAACGTACAGAGCTTCGTAATTTTCATCAAGCTTTCCGTTTTACTTCTTCATACGTTGTACGAGTAACTCGTACTGCATTAAAACACTTTCGAGTAACAAGACTGCGTACTTCTAGTACCACCAGGAACGTAGAGTACGAGTAGTAAATTACACTACGTACGTACAGTAGTACAGCAAAGAATTTTTCCATCCGTAAAACGTGCCTTCAAATTTTGAATTTAGTGCGTTCTAGCTTCATCATACACGACTACCGTACGAGTTCGTACGCGTACCCGATCGCGACTTCCTTCTCACTCCCGACTAGATTTTCACGTTGTTTTGGCATCTGTAACGGTACTAAAGTAGTACAGTACAGCATCTAGTATCAATAACCGTAGGAGCACGGTACGTACTACCGGACGATACCGGTACTCGTACCGTTGTGAACGTTGTTCTGTTTACTCGTGATAAGTTCTTCGAACGTCACCTATTCACCGTGTCGCGCCAGTCAAAAGCTATCAGCAACGAAGCCAGTGTCAATCRATATCATCTTCAATAGCTACTAGTAGACTCTTGATATTTCCAAAGCCAACCCGATATTGTCAACGAATCCATTATTCCACACCATGGATTCTGCGTCGAACAGCGCCAATACTACTAGCGCCAACATTCCCCACGAGGCATCTTCGGATCCCGAGCGAAGGATTCCCACAACTCCGATTGAATCTGAGAATGGGACTCCGTCGCCCGCGAACAACGACGAAACTATTCAACAAGATGACTTGGAGCTACAGGAACAGCACGAATCTCTGTTGTCGACAAGCAATACAAGACCGGCTATTAACACACTTCGACAACTTGCMAATTTTGCTATGGCAGCGTCCACCGCCGCYAGCACAACARCATCGGCATTATACAGCACCAATAGCGACAGTAGAAACAATAGTGAAARTCCAATGCCGTCGGGATACCCAACCCTGGCACAATCTGGGTCCGTTCCACTGTGGGCCAAGCTTCTGGTCCCATTTTTGTGTTTGGCCTGCCAACTCATCTTTTTTTATGGTCAAACAGAACCCATGTGGAAACTCCACGTCAATGCCGATATAGATGTTTGGGCGAATGCTACCGAGTATACAGCCCGCCGTACCTTTGACATCCTTGGACTRGACTATCACATTCCCATTGTGCTCGAAGAGAAAAAGGATGTTCAAACCTTCACTTACATGTACGCCATCAAAGAATTATGGACGGCAAAAGATTTGCCCGGATTGTTGTTACCGAGATYGGCAGCAGTCCTGCTGATTATATTTTCGGGAATTTGGCCCCACCTGAAGCTTGCCATGCTGAATCTCACGTGGTTCTTTGGWAGACACAGAACCCGCCGCACAAAAACCCTGGCGTGGCTTTCAGGTTTGGGGAAATGGTCTCTAGCCGATGTTCTTGTAGTATGTGTGATGGTGGGTGTTTTGAATCTTGATTGGATCGTTGATCCCGGTGCAATCAAGGAAGGCGTGATTAACGATTTGCCGAGCATATTGGAAATTGCCGAGACACTCGTCACAGAAGAGCAGGTTTGTGACAAATTGCTAAAACTCAACTGTGCACACGAACGGCGAGTCGCACGAATTGCGAAGTGCAAGGCCTGCAAGGGGCTGGTCAGCGAAGCTTTTGGTCATCCCGAATGGGCCCGGTCGACAGGACGGAAAATTGTAAACGGAATATCCACAAGTGGAGGAGGGAAGGCGACTCTGAGGGTCGTTGGGATGAGCGGGATCTATTACTTTTGTGGTGCTGTAATACTGTCCATCTTTTTGAGCTTGGTGGTAGATATTTTCGACCATCGTGCCAAGGTTTATGAGCGCAGAAGAGAGGAAGAAGCACGCGGGATCGAGAGGGGATATCGCGAGCGCGGTGGATTGCTATTGGGAGAACGGCCGGTCCGACGATTGATTTCCGAACGCGGCGACAGCAACTACAACTACAACTACAACAACACCAACCACCAGTATACCAGCGTCAGCGACGAGGACAGGTTGGACGCACCGCTGCTAGGCCATGGGACCGATAATGTGTCTCTGGAAATTGAAGTATCGGAAAATATCGAAGCCGAAATTAATAGAATCAATCGTCGCAGTGGTAACGGCAAATTATTTCCACCGTGGTTTTTGATGGTTGCCTTCCCCACAGCTATTATTGTGTACCTTGCGGCCGAGATGTATACGATGGAACGTATCGTGTATGGTGCGGGCCCTAAACTTTTACACGAAGTTTTGGGTATGGATTGGCAAAAACCATACTCCTTTCAAACGCTGATGTGGACAACCGGTGCGGCCGGTGGGATGGACTACATGTTGATGGGGACGTTTGGGCTATTTTGCGTTGTTGGACCCGTGGTTCGCGCTGTGTTACTATTTTTCACCATTGTATTGGATCAGTGTCACGTTCAGATCTCCAACGTGGCCGTGATTGTTAATTTTCTAGGATCCTTTTGCGCATGGGAGGTGTTTGCGATCGCTACAATCATGGTACAAATGCTAATGCCATCAATTACAGACACGATAATTCGAAACCCTGCTTGCGCTTCGATCTCCGACGATGGATCTTGTCTAAAAATAGAATTCAACCTTGTTCCTATTGCATTTTCAATGGTACTCATTGGAGGATCTACACTGGTTGGATTGTCTTGGATAACTACCGGTCGTGCGATGATAAGCGACAAGGAATATGAACATGATTCTGTGCGGACAAGCAGTGGCGGCAATGTTGCTAGTAATGCGATCACTAATGAACGAGGCCCTTCTCCTCTATCTCGAGTTATGAGACGAAATCACGATTATGAGAGACTRCAAGGAATCGAAGAAGGAAACAGTGGTAGCACAGGAGGAGAAATGGAAGAGTTGGTTTTTGAAACAAATCAGTTGTGAAACAATCGTATTGGAAAATGGAGATATAACGTGATGGAAGGCATCTAAAATTTGCAGTCATGCAATGTTCAGCCATGGCATTCAGATAACAAGGTTGGGCAAAATACAAAAGAATTCGTTTTGAATATCAAACCAAATCATTCACACAAAAAATRAGAGATCGCCACATTCTTCTACTAGTAGTAAACCACTCAGCAAATCAATCTGCAACTTCCTGATCTGCTAGTAGTTCCTCATATTGTAATKAAGTTGTTGCAGTGGGGTGTGGCAGGGAAGTGTTGCTTATAGCTCTGTGTGGAGGGTGTGACAGGTCAGTTGAATAGAGTGATATCTCCAGTTGGTAATTYCTGGTTCGTTTTAGTGTATTTATAACCTCTCTTAGATTTATGCCACAAATAAGGGTTCGTTTCACGTAATGTACACAGTGCAAACGTAGAATTATGTTATTTTATTATTACCATATCTACCTTAGGTAGATGCCATACGGTACACCATTCTGTTTTCGTTACGTCAATAGATGGGGGGCTGTAACGATCAGATACCAGGTAAGAACGTACGCGCTCGGACAAGCGGTTATTTTGTCTCGTTTGAATTTTTGAAAGGTACCCATCTGCCGCGCCAGCATCACTAATTTTCGTTATTGTCTAAGAAATGTCATCATTTAAAACGAGCACAGAAGATGTTATTGCAACCGGGACTACAGATTTTGATCTTTTGGAGTCGSTAATGTTTCTTTGACATACGGTTTAGTACCGTACTGATATTGCCCTTGCCATAGTAAGCTCCCATCTGCCGTCCCTAGTGAAGAGCACTGCTGTACGGTATCTCAATAGAACGAAAAGCTACCTTCTACCTCGATTCATTTCCAAAGATCTGGTTTCTTYAATAGTGTGTGTTAAACTGCTACCTCTGGAATCTTTAATCAATATGGACACGATCATGGAAAAGAGGATTCGGAGACGAATGGTCTTGCTGAAGTCCGAAAAAGATCGTGCTATCAGAAGGGCCCAGTTTGGTGAATTTTCTACTGCGAAGTCGTTTGATGAAATCAAGGAAGAACGAGAGGCTGCTATAGGACAAGGTGTGAATCGCGATTTTTCCAACGAAGAACGAGACATTGACTGTGATGCCTCCCTCATGTCGGATTGTGTCAGTGAAATGCGACGCCGACGAGTCTATGAGATGACTCACGGCCGCCCTTATCCTACGAAATCTACGAAGAAGAAGCACACCTTTTGGCAACCAGAAGATTCTTCTCACGTTGCGGTTCTTTCTCCGCCATTTGCTAAAAGGAGCAATGAACCTACCATTTCAAAACCACCTGTGTCTTTGCAATCACATGCATTGCCCAAGAAGGCGACACCGCGTGTACTTTGGAAAGTCGAAACTGCAAACCTTAATCACTCTGTTGAGGCTGTGGTCTTGAAGGAAGACAATGAAGACGAACGRCAAAGATTGAAGGACTCGTTTATCAAGGATGAAATCATAGACGGATTTGGCTACGAGGATGATGAAATTATGACACCCGTTCGCATCAAAAAGTTTATCAACGCCTACGACGACGCCAAGAACAATAAAGAAGAACGTGAGGGCATTAGTGCGTCCGATTGTGTCTTCCAAGAAATGGATCGAGCTGAAACTGCTGCCGCTGTGTCGGAAATTTCAAGTGCAACACAAGCGTTGGCTGCTTTTGTCACAAGCGCGGTGGGTGTGATGAGAGAGGCAAAGACACCTGAAAAAGATAGAGATGGCAAGTACTTGATGCATCTGGAGGAGATTGAACCGAAAGTTCTTTCATCAACGACGCCGTACAAGTCTAAGCTTTTTCACGAAAAGGCTGTCTCTTTTGCTGCTGTTACTCCGTCCAATAAATTAATCACCAAGGTACCCACTCCCAAGACTATGGACAGTAGCATGGATGAAGCAGATATTATGGTTACAAATCTTGGTCTTGGCGAAAGCGAAGACAATGAGGATGATAGTGCAGTAGGAAAATTGGATTATGGAGTATTGTGGCCATCTCTATTCCAGAATGAAGACTCTGGTGTCAGCGTCATTGACACCCACAACAAGAAAATGCTTGAGGCTCTGGTAGAGGGAGGCGCGCTACAACGAGAAGTTGATGGCACTAATGTTCTCAAACTATTTGTCGACATGTATCACAAACACACGTTCGAAAGAATTGTTCACGCTATTCAAGAATTGAAAGGGTTACAAGCTTTGGTTATTTGCCGAGCAATCAACAAAGACCGACCAACTTATCGCACCACCCAGGAAATCAAATCTCTTTTCGATTCTACAAAAAGAATCCAGACATTGCACTCTTTGATGCTGTTAAACTTCACTTCGGACTCTTCGACTGACTTGGGAATGCTGATCCATTCGCAACCATCTCTTTATCGACTCCAAATTCAAATGGTCGATGGTACCCTGAATGGCGAACTACTGGGAGTTATGGCAACCGCCCCATGCTTGACTCATGTTTTGCTCGARCTCAATGAATCTTGTTCTTTGGGGACACTTTTGAACTCAAGAAGTCTTCAGACTCTGCGAGTCAATTCCGAAAATCTTGAATTTAAGAGTAGTCACATCCGAACTCTATTCTACAGTCTCCAATCGAACATTGCACTTACTTCTTTGGACCTTGCCCCACCAATTTCGGCAGAACAATTTAGATCGTTGTGCCTCACGCTGAAACACAACTACAGATTGGAATCTCTTCGAGTCAATTTGGAATTGACAACAGRTGATGAAAGCAGAGATGTTGCGATGGAACTTGCCAATTTATTCCGAGAAAACAACTTTCTGATCAACGTCTGGAACTACTCTCATAAATYGTGCGCGATTAATGATGAAGTCAAGCGTGACCTTTTTGCGGCGCTACGAAATAGCAAGGGCATGAAAGACTTCAAATTCTTTAACGAAGATATTGGCGACTGGAAGAACGCGAAGGGCGGGAACCCAGMTTGGCTCGAAGAAAATCTCAATTCCACCATAGGGGATTGCAGTACCGTCAATACCGTTGATGTTTCAAGAAATGTAGGCAGTATTGACAATGGAGAAGGGAACGATTCGCTCTTCTCGTTCGATGATTCTCCGAACATCCAATCTAATCGGAAGGGTGATTTTCTGAGAATGTGTGGTTTTGAAAGCCCTGATTGTGAAAGGGCTTTTTGCGGCATCGATGTCTCGGACATGTCGAAAGCCTGTGATTATTCCAACCTTAAAAAAGTGGGCACCGAGATTCACAAGTGGGCCACGGGTACTGCCACTGCCAAACAGTGACCAAAAAACGCATGGACATGATTTGAGTACCGTGATTCGATCTGTGTTGTCCTTCATTTATAAATAAAACTGTCTTCAACAAGAGTTATCATTTGAATACGAGGGTATTATTGCTGCCATCCATCGTATATGATTTAATTCATACTGTAATTAAGCACTTGTCTTTATACATTGGATAAGTTCAGCACGTGCATTTRTTAAAAGACCAAGRAGAAATAATAAYTCGAYGCTTTCATTCTAAGCTGGATCTGTTTCCTATCTTCCCCTCTCCAAAATAATCCTGTCAGCTCTGTCCAGAAAAGAGGACACACCAAAATTCGATTGCTGAAAGGATAAAGCGACATCTTCAGATTCCTCAAATTATCAATCAACTAAATGCAACATTTTTCATTCGATCGACTACAATATTCCATCTTGAAACCTATCCCGATTAAAGACACCAATCGTATTGTTTGTACCTTAAGGATAGACCAACCGACAGTAGCAAGGATGAAAATGTGCCCCAACGTATTAATTCCATCGATCACGAACGAACGAATTCCAAAACAGCACTCCGCATCTCTCCAGTCTGAAACCAACCCTTCAAGCTTTCTTCCGCATCCATGSCGGCGTTGAATACAGCTAGTAGCCAAGCCGAATGACTCGAAACTCCGACGATTCTTTCGTCTCGCGATTCCAGCCACTCCATGAATTTGTAGATCCGGTCCACGAGCTCCATCTTGGTCTCTCTTCGATCGGATCGGAAGAACACGTCTTCTTCTTCTGTCATGAGCGAAAAATCGACCATTGGGAATTCAYCCGCTTGTTCCGAAGTTGGACGTCGTTTGTCGCAAACGTGAACTCCAGTCTCTTCCCGGGCCATTTCGTGGGCCAAGAACGGAACCTTCCCGATGAGTTCTCGGAAGGCAATGACACCGGTCTGTAGAGCTCTGCAGTTTGGCGACAATGCAACGAGCTGTGGCTTTTTCGTGGCATCGAGTCCCTTGATGACCGGCTGAATCAAAGCTGCCTGTTGGCGTCCTTTGTTCGTCAAGGGAGCATCCGTGATTTCGGGCATGACATAAGGGTTTTCCGGGGTGTTGGTGCAGTTTTCCCAAGTTCTTCCCTCTTGCTTCGCCAAATCTGCCATGAGATTATGAAATCCTTGTCCGTGCCGGAGGAAATGAACATGCTTTACGTTGCCCTTCTCGATGGACGGGGCGTTGGGATCGTCCATTGGGTATGCCTTCACGATGAGAGGCCGCAATTTCATTGCTGCTGCTGCTTCTGCCATTCCCTCCATGTGTTCTTTGAAGTCGTCTTTGGCATTTGCCAGTGCCGCTTCGCTATGGCCGCTATCTTCCACCGTGGTATTCATRGTTGCTTGGTGAGGTACTTCGTATGGTATGTTTGTGGACCGTTGGACGAACCTTCTTGAACTGAAGACTATCGAAACGATGACAAATGCCGATGAGTCTGGCGAAGTGCGTACGAAAAGTACAGGGAAGGAAAAAGGAATCTCCCATCAAACTACAGTACGAATTCGTACCGTACGGTACTATTTCCTCCGATTACCGGTTTCAACTAGTACTGTACGTACGTACTAGCACTTTTTTGGGTTTCTGATGCAGAAGTACGAGTACCGTACTGAGTACTGTATTTCTACTTTTGTACATTCTAGTAGTACATAGGAGTACGTATGTATTGAATATGGGACCACCCCTAGCAGGTTTGGCCGGGCATTTTAGAGCGACTTGGGCGTTAAAACTTTTACCCGTCGCGTGTTGCCAAATGTTGCCACCTGGAAAATTTAGGATTTTTTTTTTTTGATACTACTACTACTACTCCACTACTACTCCACTTATCAAATATATTTTAACATATATAAATATATTCATTTACATTACATCACTACACTTGATGGTTGAAGTTACTCCAATGCTCTTGTTGACATACAGCAACATTGCAACTTCTGCAACCATTCCTTGACATTCTTAAAGTACTAATCGATGCTGGCAACTTGTTCCTCAAGAATCTGCTCACTGATGAGTTAGGATACCTATTCTTTGCTTCTTCTATACAGACAACATAATAGTTCCTCTTTACTCCTTCATACTTGCCACTGCATCTTTCTTTATGTGGCTTTGACATAACCTTTCCATGAGCAATGGTGCTGGTCTTCTTCTTGTTCACACACCAGAGGGGGAAGAAACAAATCCCACAATTGCAAGGGTGATATTTTCCATTCTTTGAAGTCTGAGGCATCCACTCTGGCTTAGAACCTTCATCATATGGAGCTTTCCAGTCCATTTCAATACCTCTATTCATCAATGTAATGTCAAGATGAGATTGAAACTTTTTCCTACTG